AGAGAATCTATAAATATTTAGTTTAGAACCCCTAATGTGTAAATAATAATTCTGTAAATAAATTTAATAATAAAGAGTGCCACACGCGCCCCATGGTGCTTCACCTGGGATAGATAAAAAAAAAAAAAACTTGTGCTACTGATTAGCTCTTTCTATGATCCAAGTACATTTGACAGTTTAAAAAAAAAAACAGGAAATAAAAGTTCTAAGCAACACGCACTTTACTTTTAAATTGAACCATTATGTTAATAATTCAGCCTATAGACAATATGATAATTAGTACTAACATGCTAGGTAAGAAAGTATATATGTATGTACTAACAGACAAAAAAATTTTACAAACAAAATCATGCGTTAGGGCAAGTCTGACTGTTGTGACCAGTTTGATGACATGTACCACATTGTCTTGACTGTTTTTCAACATGCTCAAAGGTGGATGGGTCTCTCTGTATTATTCTTTTGTTTTTGTTTCTTGCACCAACTGGTCTTCCTCGTGGTTTACTAGTAACTGGATTTTCTACCACAACAGGTGGGGTATTCACCAACTCTTCTAACTGAGAATGGATAGCAACTTGTTGATGAGGTGGCCAGAATTGGTACATGTGGGCAAGAGACTGCAAAAGAGGCTGAAGATTTGTGCAATTATCTTTGATAATATATGTGGATTCCAGAAATTCTATATGATGACCTTGGATTCACCATTGTTCATGAATATCAGTTTTTTGTAACACTTGATTATTTGTTAGACATTCATTTATTATGTGCGAACAAGGGAGACCCATCGTAGATTTGAAAGTTTCTGTGCAAGGTTTTAATGGTGAGTCTGGAGTTGCGCTTGACACTTTGATCAACTTATCATGAAGCTTATTCAAAGCAAAAGTAGAAACATGATGCAGGAGAGGTTCAAAGACAGAAGTCCAGTGCACATGTTGTACTTTTATATACTGAAAAGAGATTGCTGCATGGATTTCTCTTGTCTGGAATTCTATCAGTAATACAATCTTTCGGTGCACCGACTCTAAATCACCTGTAGATGGAGATATAAAAAAAATAGGTTACCTATTTTAAAAAAAATATTGAACATTAAATTTTTTTTTTTAAAAAAAAATTATTTCTTTAGCATTCTACTTTATAACCACATTAGTTACGTTACAATATGCTAAATATTTTAACCAGGAAACTAGTATTTCCACACTTATTTTTGATATTTCCACACCCTTAAGTCATGTATTTTTTTTTAACTGATATTGATATTCTATCACTGTCATTTCGGTATATATGTTTATAATTTATGTCACATACAAGGGTGTGGAAATACCAGTTCCTCTTAACAATTGTAAATCAACAATTATAATATATAGTTCTAAACTATTGGTTATTTTTACCTGTAGATGACTGCAAACATCTTTTAAGAACAGCATGTGCTGCTTCTACTCGTGAAGTTACCATGTTACTGAAATGCAAATAACGATTAGTTTAGGCAGAAACGAAATGTTTTTTATGAGAAATCCAGGTTTCTTGAAGGTATTTTATGACTTCGGATTTGTTAGTGTAATATGTTATAAATTCATTTCATTTGATCATAAATTCTTGTTCAGTGTTAGATGCTGTTACTGCTTGCCACATTCTAATAAATTCAGTTCAATTTTCTTCCATAGTAAAATGATGCTTACATTTTGCTAAAATGTTTTTATTTATGTGCCACATACATAGGATATGGTGGGTATTAGGAAAAATCTTATCAATAGCTTTCATTAACGCCAACTCCCGATCGGTAACAATAACATTAGGGTGAGACAATCTACTGAAAATTTTTGATATGCAAACCAAGGCTCACTCATAATTTTCCTCTGTTTCTTTATTTAAAAAAGCGAAACAAGAAAAAAATGTAGTGTTAAAACTTAATACACCAATGATGTTTATCAAGGGCATCTTATATCTATTTGTTTTGTAAGTGCAATCGACTAGTAGTATGGTAGGGTAGGTACAAGTTAAAGCTATGGATATTCTATGCGCAAAAAAAAGATGCGTCACGTGATTTTGGTCATCACACCTATATTCAAATTCGAAGTCAGATCCTTGTAATTTGTCAAGAAAGGCTTGGACCGGTGTATGGCCATCAAGCCTTTCTTGACGAATAGAATTCATAATGTTATAGATAGTTCTAGATATAGCAAACAAGGATAAATCATTTTGGTGTATAGTTGACAGGATTTGACGGGGACGAGAACCAGCGACAACCATTTGTTTAACCAGTTCCTTTTGATCAACATTCAACTTTCTAACAATTGGATGGCCAGACATATCTGTTGATGCTTCATGGTTATGTTCAGAGTTTCGAACCTCAAGGTGCCAAATATTATCATGTCTTGTTCCAAAAAGCTCAAACGGACAATTTATAAGTCTTGAAGCTGTCCTTTTATGGTGTAAATCATCTGATAAATTTAACCTATTTCTATAGAACCCACTTCTATCACAGCCTAATACCACATTTTTTATTTTACCATTTCTATCTGAGCATGATCTTTTTATAGTGACAGCATATCCTTGAGTTTTAGAGAAAGACCGCATGTATTCAAGAAGCTCATTACGACTTGCAAATTGACGAAGTTGGGGTGGCTGCATACTTGAATATGAGATAAGTGACAGGAGATATATTGTATACTATTGTTAAATTAAAAATCAATATGGTTATAAATTTTTTTATCAAAACATTTTTGTTTGCTTATAGTTTCACTAACCTGCCTTGTATGTCTAAATTTTTGGGTATTTAGATTTAACTTTTGGGAAAAAAAAATGACTAATTTTTACATAATCGTATGCTATATTTATTTGTTAATTAACTTATTACATCATAGAAACATCATTGTTTCAATTATAATATCATAGCGGAGATTGAAATATGCTTCATCCTACTGTAAGTGCAGATCTTGTGACAATATGTTTAATTTTTTTTTTGACAAGTATTAAAAAGTATTTAATAAAATAGTACTGTACGGTGATACAAATTGGATGGGTGTATGTACATACGAAATTATATTAAAATGTTGATAGCACATACGGTTAGCATAGAATTATTAAATTCGATTTTAATAAGTATCCTTTTTTTTTATAATTGGGGTTGGGGAAAATGTCAGCAGCCTTTTTTCATGTTATAGTAAAATAGGTTGCAGTATGAGAAAATATGTTTCAATTTCATGTTTTCGTATCATACTAATTACTGTGTACTCATATTAAACAATCGAATGGTATAAATATCATGGTAAAATATCTGTGCGAATTTACAGTATTCGAACTTTATTATAAATAGGAGATTATATTTTGTTAATATCCAGAATGGATTACTTATCATCACAAGTAAGTAAATTTGTGCAATTTACAAGCAATGGCAGTTTTATATACAATTATTTTATACTAACCATTACTTGATTTAGTCCCATCAATATTTTAATATTCTTGCAAATATTAATACTGTAAACAGCTTTAATGAACTAAGCCATTATCATAATTTAAACCATAATTCGAGCTATGGCTTTTATGTCAAGTTGGCATTACAAACTAAGAATTTTACATAGCTTGCAAACAAGGTGAGACAATTTAAGGGCATCCAATATTGTTAAATATTGGTAAAAAGAAACGAACCCTATAAGAAATCACTACACAGATGCACAGAATCTTCAACACAAAGTTGCATGTAAACATGTACAGAACAGTGCAGTCTTAATGTGCACTTTTACGTATTATCATATATACTTTTATGTATAAAAATGTATCTTTTTACATACATTCCATACTTTTCCTTACAATTATGTGTTTGAATTTTTCATTTTTTTCGATAATTAATTTTCGTGCAGTTTCATATTGATTGAATTATATTGATTTTTTTATAGGGAAGGTGAATGTTATATATATTTGTATCACTATGTATGTTATTTTTTATTGATCATGAGAAAGTGATTTTTTATACATTTCTAAGATAAGGTTTCGAATTCAGATTTATGGCTCAAACCTTATCTTTTGGTATTAAATTTTATTATGTTCACAATCTTAATCTGAAGGTCGATCTAGAGATTTGATAACTAGTTATAATGCCTGATTGTATACCGTTAATTAACGTAATAGATACATAATTAATACTTTGTAAACTACTTATCAATACAATATTAGTAAATCATAATCAAAGGCAAAAATTTGTTATACAGTTACCGTAAATTACCATGCAAGGTATTTTACATTCCACGTCACAACAAACTCTGACTTATACCCCTGGATATATTGTATAGCACAGGTATATTATGTGGGGGGTATTTTGATATTAGTCTATTATAAAAAAAAATTAAATTATTATTAAATTGAACCTTGATTTATACCCGGGTTTCTTACAAAACACCACTACAAATAACCTTGAAACATATCCGGTACAAATCAAGGGGAATATATAACAAAGGGGTACTTTGCACCATAGATCTAGGTAGCACATCCACAAAAATTCTACTCTCTGTAATTTTTTACCAAGAATAAAACAGTGTTGTAGTTTAGATTAGGGATCGAATAACTTAGTCTAACAATAGAATTTCACAAGGTGCATTTTTAATTAGGTCGCAGGTGATTCTTAATTAAAATTTTGATTTTTTTGTGAAAAAGTGGTTTCGCTTCGATTGTTTACATTGCACCTAATTTTGAAATTTGATCTTTACAGTATATGGCATGTTTATATAACATTCAATTCTATGTTATCCAAAAGATTTCGATCAATCCGAAAATGCTGTATATCACATGATAGTACACTTTGGAGTCCCGTGATACAGGCCGAAGGCCGGCTAGGTTATGTGGGGGGTGGCATTAGCAAAAGTGGAGGGTGGCAATATCAATACTCTAAATTTAAAATCTGTTATAATATTATTTAATATTTTAATATTGTTTTTATTATTATTATTATTATTATTATTTTGCTTACACTAAGGTCATAGTTATTAGCAATTATTGTCTTTATTATATTTTAATTATGATTACATAACTTGTACAAAGTGAGTATACAACTAGCCACATATACAACTTTTGGTTGTCTATTTTAAGTAGTCCATTTGTGCAGCAGGTTTTATACCAACTACCATACCTGCAATTTACTAAAAGATTACTTATTTAAACACTCTGATTTTTATATTTATATTAACAAATAGTGCACAAGTTTCTGTACACCTAAGTGTTGTTTAACCTAACTATGACCTTACTGTTTGTACATCCATTAAGCTGTTATATATTTCAGAGTATGTTATCTAACTGTAGGACTCTAAGGAGCCTCTCTATTAACTAACTACTCACATTTAGTCTCTTGTTAACAGAGCTTGCCTTTGCAGAGTTCACACAGACCTTAGCACTAGCTTCATAGTATATTTCTAGTACTTATAGTATACTTTTGTTTCTGACTTTAGACTTCCAATTCAAATAGCTCGATAGAACTATGACCTGTTTCTGATATCTCAAGATCTGTTTTCCAAAGTTTTTTTTTCTAGTTCAAGACTTCTGGTGGCCTAGTTGGTAATACTCTTTATTCAAAGTTCTTGTCTATCTAATTCTTTTCACATTAGTATCTATTTTCTAGATCTAGCTTTTATAGTAATACTGTTAAAAATCTGTACTACCTCTTTACTCAGATTTTTCAAGTAGTTTCTGGTTTCTCAGTTTACAGATTTATATGGCTATGAGAACTTATTTTGGGTTTGCATTGTCCAATGCTAGTTTGCATTTCTTTGTATAACTTCAACATTATGCAAATGCCCTATGATCTGCCAGTCATTTGATGTGATTGTGTTACAAATACTAATTCCAACTAATTAATAAAGTGCTATTGTTGTATTACTACTTATTTTTTGTAATACTAATATAACATAGGTGGTTTTTTAAATTTTTACTATTAGTAGATTTTGAACTTCCAACCTACTACTTGAGAGTTGATAACTTAACCATTTCACTAAGTTATTATACCTCTTTTTGATATTGTTAATTTTTATAAGATTCTTATAGTAATTGAGTATACTATTAATTATAACTTTAAGATTAATTTAAATTTAGAGCATTATTTGGTAATATTTTTTTTTTTTTTTGAACTTTGGTGACAATGCCAGTTGGTTTATTAGCTTTAATTTAATATAGTACAAATTTTATGATTACATTTTAGGATCAATTATTACTAGTACTATATATTATCTAATTTTACACTACTGACTTCATCTGATTACCCATATGGCACCTAAGTGCATGTCTGCCACATGCTTGCATGTAGTTATCTTAACAACCACTTGCAGTCAGGACATACCATTAAACCACTACACAGACAAGGATACCTACTGAACTTAATATGATATCCCAAATGCCAGAGGCACTATCTTCTGTAAATCATACCCATATGTCCTACTCACATATTTTACCTGGTCTTGTTTCTTTTGCCTCTTAATCTAATTATATTTAGTATTATCTTGTTCCCCACATTTCTCACCTTTTTGTCACTGTATCACTCCCAAATTGGTTCTACTCAGGTATGTTTGATCCTTATGATCTTCTCATCTTTGGTATGTCTGTTATTGATTCCTCTAAGGTGTTTTGACAATGGTCCAGGATTGCAAAGAAACCATATCTTAAGCCAAATCTGCTGCTGCTATTGGTCTTTTGACCAATCTGTATCTCAAGCCAGGTCTGCTGCTGCCGTTCCTGCAGATGCCCCAGGTCTTAATGTTATACAATAACTTGATGCTGCATTTAACCTTCAACATAGTGCTCCCTTCTATAGTGTGAACTGAGACTTGTTGTATTTACAAATAGGACAATTCTGGTTATGCCTAAGGAGTTCCTCTGACCCCAGTAATATCATACTATTATACTACTATATATAGCAAGCTCCCAGCTTATTCAATAATACCTGCAGGACAATTCTGGTTATACCCCAGAGAGTTACACTGACTCTAATGATGCCATACTACCTTGCAGATCTTATTTCACATTGGTTGGTTGATCCCAGTCTTGTTCATTATAGACTTCTATATAGGTATGACCAGGAACCTGATTTGGTACTTTTACATTGCACAAGGAAGTTATATGCCAACCTCCAAGATTTTTCCCTTCTATAGTTAGATTATTTGGCTATGTCAGAGATGCTTTCAATTTTGGTTAGACCAATCTTTTATCACAGTCCGTCCTCATGTTCACCACTTCTCTCACCATTCTAGTCTTGATTATTTTCAGAATACTCTCCCAATCAAATCCTCTTCTGGAATCCTAATTAAAACTTATTCACACAATCCATTGATTATCCTTCAAAGCAAGTACCTCACAAGTTAGATGCAGAGATATTGGTACTGCCTATATTAGGAGATATAAGAATGTTGTTGCTGCCCTAGTCTAAAGGACTTACTTGCGCAATCTTTCTATAACTGTAACCTTTTGTAACAACTGCTTGTTATACATAGTGCCTGTACTCCATGATTGGGTCTCCTTCTGAGAATTCCTATTTTCATCATTATACTGCATTTGGACTTAACCACAGAGCTTCGCATTCAATTACAGGCTCCTTATTAGGTTACAGAAGCTAAAATCTTTTAATTTTGCCTCCAGCCAGACTTGAACTATTG